TGGCAAGCAAGAAACCATCAGTATGAGAACGGTAGCACATCGAGACCCATTGCTCATGCAAAGAGTAGATAGCGCATTGGTCCCAATTGCAAATCACGCTGAAGTCCAAGTGGTCAAGCAAAGACCAGACARCACACCGGAACCAAGAAACCATTCACATGTCGACGAAGTGCAGAAGTCCATATTTCATATCACGCTGAAGTCCAAGTGCCCATGCAAAGATCAGATGGCACAGTGGAACCAAGGAACCATCCGCATTGGCCCGACCCTCGTGCGGCGAGGCGACGCCCGACGGAGCGACCATTGGGTGTCAAGGCAACACCCGATGGTGTCTAGCACGAAACCCTCCGCACGAGAACGATAGCACATCGGGACCCCGTGCWCGGGMAAAGAGCAGAGAGYGCATCRGTTCCAATTGCAAATCACGCWGAAGTCCAAGTGGCYAAGCAAATASCAGATAGCACAGTGGAAYYAAGAAACCATTAACATATGGACGARGTGCAGRAATCCATAAACGGCAGCACATACGGACCCARTGCTCGGGCAAAGAGCAGATAGCGCATTGGTCCCAATTGCAAATCAYGCTGAAGTACAAGTGGTCAAGCAAAGAGCAGATAGCAYAGCGRAACCAAGAAACCATTCGCATGTGGACGAAGTGCAGAAAACCATATTGCATATCACGCTGAAGTCCAAGTGGCCATGCAAAAATCAGATGGCACAGTGGAACCAAGGAAACATCGGCATTGGCCCGACCCTCGTGCGGTGAGGCGACGCCTGATGGGGCGACCATCGGGTGTTGCCGCGACACCCGACGTTCTCAAGCAAGAAACMCTYCGTACAAGAACGATATCACATCGGGAACCTGTGCACAGGGAAAGAGCAGATAGCGCAYGATGCTGCGCATCCGTTCCAATTGCAAATCACGCTGAAGTCCAAGTGGCCAAGCAAAGAGCAGATAGCACAATGGAACCAGGAAACCACCCACATCTGGACGAAGTGCGGAAATCCGAACTGCAGATCATGCTGAAGTCCAAGTGCCCAGGGAGAAAGTAGATGGCACAGTCGAACCATGGAACCATCCGGATCAGCCCCGACCCTCGCGCGGCGAGGCGACGCCCGACCATCCGGTATCGCCGCGACACCCGATGGTGTCAAACAAGAAACCATCCGTATGAGAACGGTGCCACATCGGAGCCCGGTGCTCGGGCAAAGAGTAGATAGCGCATTGTTTCCAATTGTTAATCACGTTGAAGTCCAAGTGGTCAAGCAAAGAGAAGATAGCACACCAGAACCAAGAAACCATTCACATGTGGGCAGGGTTGAAATCCAAATTGCAAATCATGCTGAAGTCCAAGTGCCCATGCAAAGAGCAGATGGCGTTGTGGAACCAAGGAACCATCCGCATTGGCCCGACCCTCGCGCGCCGAAGTGACGCCCGACCATTCGCCGGTGCGAGTGGGGCGACCATCGGCTGTTGCTGCGGCGCCCGATGCTGTAGACGGGGCGACCATTGGGTGTCGCCGCGACCACCGATGGTGGCAAACAAGAAACCATATGTATGAGAACGGGAGCACATCGGTACCCAGTGCTCGGGCAAAGAGTAGACAGCGCATTGGTCCCAATTGCAAATCACGCTGAAGTCCAAGTGGTCAAGCAAAGAGCAGATAGCAAAGCGGAACCAAGAAACTATTCACATGTGGACGAAGTGCAGAAATCGGGAACCAAGAAACCATTCACGTGTGGACGAAGTGCAAAAATCCATATTGCATATCACACTGAAGTCCATGTGCCCATGCAAAAAGCAGATAGCAAAGTGGGACCAAGAAACCATTCACATGAGGTGGGCTGGGCAGAAATCCAAATTGCAAATCACGCTGAAGTCAATGCGGATGGTTCCTTGGTTCCACTCTGCCATCCACTCTTTGCATGGGCACTTGGACTTCAGTGTGACATGCAATTTGGATTTTTGCCCAGCCCACCACATCTGAATGGTTTCTTGGTCCCGCTGTGCTATCTGTTCTTTGCATGGGCACTTGGACTTCAGCGTGATAGGCAATAATATTGATTTCTGCACTTCGTCTACACGTGAATGGTTTCTTGGTTCCGCTTTGCTATCTGCTCTTTGCTTGACCACTTGGACTTCAGCGTGATTTGCAATTGGGACCAATGCGCTGTCTACTCTTTGCTCGAGCACTGGGTCCCGATGTGCTCCCGTTCTCATACATATGGTTTCTTGTTTGCCACCATCGGGTGTCGCGGCGACACCCRATGGTCACCCMGTCTACAGCATCAGGCGACGCGGMGACAGCCGATGGTCGGCCCACTCGCACCGGCGGATGGTCAGGCGTCACCTCGGCGCGTGAGGGTCGGGCCAATGCGGATGGTTCCTTGGTTCCACAGCGCCATCTGCTCTACCCTCGGGCGGCGTGGGGACGCCCGACGATCGGGTGTCGCGTCGGCGCCCGATGGCCCGGTCGACGGTGCGGGTGGGGCGACGATCGGCCGTCGCCGCGACGCCGGATGGTGTAGAAGGGCCGACCATCGGGTGTCGCCGGGACACCCGACTATCTCCTGCTCCTCCACATCCCTCTCTTCCTCGTCCTCCTACGTCCCGTTTTCTTTCTCCTCCCCCTCGTCGGACCATCAGGCGTCGAGGCGACACCCGACGAGCGGACCACCGGGCGTCCAGGAGAGACCCAGCCAACGGCCGTCCGATGGTCGGGCGTTGCGTCGACGCCAGATGGTCCGACCGTCAGGTGACACGTCGACGGCCAATGGTTGGGTGTCGCCTCGACTCTCGACGGTCCGACCGTTAGGTGTCGCTTCGGCGCCCGACGGTCGGGTGTCGCCTCGACGCCCAATGGTCGGGTGTCGCCTCGATGGTAAGGTGTCGCCTCGACGCCCAATGGTCGGGTGTCGCCTTGACGCCCTATGGTCGGGTGTCGCCTCGACGGCCAATGGTCGGACCATCCAGTGTCGCCTCGACACCCGATGGTCGGGTGTCGCCTCGACGCCCAATGAGAGAACGGCGCCCGATGGTCGGGTGTCGCCTCGACGCCCAATGGTTGGGCCATCGGGCGCCGAGGCAACACCCAACGATCGAAACACCGGGCGTCGGGGCGAGACCCGGCCAATGGCCGTTCGATGGTCGGGCGTTTCATCGACGCCGGATGGTCCGACTGTCCGGTGACACGTCGACGGCCAATGGTTTGGTGTCGCCTCGACTCTCGACGGTCCGACCGTCAGGTGTCGCTTCGGCGCCCGACGGTCGGGTGTCGCCTCGACGCCCGATGGTCGGGTGTCGCCTCGATGGTCGGGTGTCGCCTCGACGCCCAATGGTCGGACCATCGAGCGCCTGATGGTCGGGTGTCGCCTCGACGCCCAATGGTCGGACCATCGGGAGTCGCCTCGACGCCCAATGGTCGGGTGTCGCCTCGACGCCCAATGGTCGGGTGTCACGTCGACGCCCAATGGTCGGACCATCGGGTGTTGCCTCAACGCCCGATGGTCGGGTGTCACGTCGACGCCCAATGAGAGAACAGCGCCC